TTGTAAAAGGTGACGCGCAGCTCGCTCAGAAGGCAAGACCTACTAGGACATATATGTATATATATATCCTTCTATATTATATAGTTATCTTGGTGGGGCATTCCACACAACCTCCAATAGATTCCCAGTCACCCCAAGTGCCCCCCCCTAAAAAAAGTAAAAATCGGTCATTTTCTCCCTTATTTTTAAAACGTTGCAGTTTTTTCAAAAAACCCTCACAGCCTCCCACACATTTTTTTGTGACGACGCCCCCCCTCCCCCCCCCCACCACAGCTACACTACTTTTGGGAAACCTGACAGGGATCACGCCGTCTTCCTCAGACCTTGATGTGTATACAGACGTGTATATGTCGTAGATGGATTATTCTATTATTTTTAATTTGCTTCATTATTAAATTACTTTAAGACAAAACTGTCTTATTACCATGATTTATCTAATCGCCAAGAAGAAATTTAAAGTCATAATTAACTACCGATATAAATGGTTTTGTGTGGTGAAACATTGCTTGGAATGCCCCACACAGTTAACTATATAATATAACAGTTAAATTTATAATTTAATATATAATAATAATGACACTTTACGCAACGACCCTCTATAAATTAATTATGACTTTAAATTTCTTCCCCCTTTTTTTCTCCCGTAACTATTTTGCCTTCTACATTATACTTCAACAACTTAGTAATTCGCAATCGTGTATCATTAAATAATCCGTCTAATATACTAAAATTTCAAACTAATATCACTATAGTACCTATTTTTAATTTAAGTTCATAAGTTGGCAAGCCTTCACAAATATTGTTTAACATTTCTATGGAAAAATTTGTATAAATATTATCATCTGATTTATCAACACCTTTATAGGTTGCAGTATCAATGCTGTAATAAATTTTAGTATGTCCGTTTTTTAATTTACTTAAAATCTTATTGTTTAAAAAAAAATATATTCAATATGTAAAGTTAGTATTACGTTATTACCAAAACAGTTGCTGTAATTACCAAATATTTTGGTACAGACATCATCTGTTTCCCGGGATTTAGGAATGTTACATGTTTCTATGTCCTCTTCTCCAATTCTCAACAATAATTTTGAAAATTATTTATCACTAGAACGAATATTATTTTTTAATCTTAAAATTTTGAAACAGTTCCATAAAAAACATGATTCAACAGTTTCCTCTATTATCACAGTTCTATTACCGATTTTTATAACTGGAAGGATTTGTCGAAAATCTCCTAATACTATTAGTTTATTACCAAAGCAAAGTTTTGTATTACACAAGTCTCTTAATGTATTATGAACGATTTCTAAAGCTTTTTTCGTAATCATAGAAGCCTCGTCCTGGATAATTAAATCAACTTTCCTTTTTTTCCAGTTTCAAATTCTAAAAATACACTCCCAATATTATTTACGTCTAGAGGTAAACGGAAAGTTCTATGACTGGTCATACTTTTAAGTAGTAATACAGATGCAATTCCTGTCCAAGCCATTGACAAAATATTTTTACCTCTAGAAAGAAAGTAATAAATGAGTGTCTTATATAAGTAGGATTTTCTGGATTTACCAGGACCATCTATTAAATACACTTGTTTATCTTGTTTACAAATAGTTTAAGAAAATTTTTTTTTATCTTGATTTAAATTTATGTACAGTATATTAAACATTTTCTCACTTAAAGATATTTCCTCAATATTGCAATTTTATATATAGTTGCTAATGGTTGGTGTCGGTGAACTAAAAGACTCACATGATTTATCTTCCGATACCAAAATTTTATTAATATGTAGAAAAGCACAATTATCCTTATTATTATCGAAGTCTTCCGTAAAACATTTTTTATATTCATTCCATATTTTATCTCCTTGAATTTTTTCTGAAATCAATAACCAAGCAAAACATTGTCCTAACTGGTACGGAAACATAATTGTTATTGATTCTTTAAAAATATTATCAATTTTTGAATCATGTACAATTAAACCCATTGCAATTGCAGTATCTCTGAAATTTTTATGTGTTATTCCATTATGTTTTTTAACGTCTCCGAATGATGTAGCCCATGTAATTTATTCAAAATAAGTTTAAAAAAAAGTGCTCATGATGTTTTGGAGATACTATGTTTTGTCTACTTACAGAAATATTTTTTATTATAATGTTCCTTTTTCCAAATTTCAAGTTTATTGTCAAAAATGTAATGTTCTGGAATGTTGACATATTCAAGTAATTTTGCAAAATCATTTGTTTTATTTAATTTAAACCAAGCTGTAAAGGGTGTTTAATTATTTTTTATTACGCTTTTGATATCATTTTCTTTAAATATAAGTTTTTGTTTATTTTCAAGATGAACAGCTAGATAGAACAACTGTTAAGTAATATGTATATAAACTATCTTTCTATGTTAAATCGTTACTGGTCTGGTACGTACACAACGGCCAATGGGGCTATTACTGACCACGCTATATTATTGGTACTGTGCAGTCAATAGTAGCTCCACTTTTTGGCCGTGGTACGTATAATTTTTTTCTTTACACCTCCGCCGAAAGTTCAACACAAAAATTTATATGATTCGTACCCTTCGTTGTACTCATATTAATGATTCAGGTTACCTCTACTTCTGCACTAAATCCAGCGGCCACGCTCCTGTGACAGTTGATCATTTTATTTAGAGGTCAACTCGTTATACTTTTTAAGCCTCTACAATGTATGCAGTTGCCACGCTTCTGTGACAGTCGATCATTTTATTTAGAAGTCAATTTATGCTGATGTTTTTCATATATTCATGGAAACACAAAGAAAAACTATCTACAGCAGAAACTATCGATGATCTCGCGCTGTCAAAGCAATAGTGTCTGATCAGGGCATTTAATGTATAGCATATTTCACTAAAGTATAATGGTCATGCGACGTCATTTGCCTATTCCATACACAAATGTGAAAAAAATAACGCTTAAAAAATTAAATAGTTCACTTATATAACATTGTGATATGACGTGTATTATCAAGATGCGTTTCACATAAACAAAATTCAAATAATTTGTGAAAAAATCTTTGTTTTGCTTATGTTACTCAAATGTATCCAAAGATTTTCTGTGTTGCATAAACTGTAAAGGTTATACTTCCATAGCCATATTTGTATGTAATATAACGTCTGCTGCTGCTGCTTCTTCTGCAGTTCTGCTGCTGCTGCTGCTTCTCGTCACATAATATATAACTATATATACCTGCGCACGTGGTTCTGCGTAAATAAGGCAGGACTGATATGAGGCTTTTTCTAACTCGAAATCGGGTCAGATGCAACAAACTTTCGGCGCAGGTGTAAGGAAAAAAAATTTCATTTTTTATACGTCTCTCTGTGATATAATTTGATACATATTCAATACATTACATACATTCAAATTACTTTTTATTACGCTATACCAAACTCCTTGAAATTACTGCCCCATCAAAGTGGCTTACAAGTTTAAGTAAACATACAGAGCCAGTCAAGTAATTTAATAATTATTTATTGTGACATTAGATGTATGCATGTTTGTGAGAATATTTTGTAATTATTTGTATTCCAAGCAGAGTACGACAAAATTTTAATAGTCTTATCTTTTGTAGGTTAAGAAATTGAAAACATGTACATAAAGCTTGGAAACGTAAACTTAAAAAATTAGACTGCCCCCCAATCTCTATTGAGTAGAAATTTTATCGACAGGGAGATCATCTTCATACGGGGCACATCATTGAATGTAGAGAAATGTCACATAGAAAGTCATTGTTTAACATAATATCATTATATTCACAAACGCGTGAAATCAGAGAAGGCTTCTCATACTATCACGAAAATAATATCAGGATCTGGAAAAGTTATAAAAATGGGAAATACATGCAAACAGTTTCTTATTTTTTAAATGACAAATAAGTGTAGGGGTTGACATGCGAAGCGCACAAGGAGACAAAGCTTTACTAGCGTATAGTGAGTGTGTGTTTATATACATATACACGCTATGCACACATTGTTTCAGTGATTCTAATAAGTAGACCCTACCTCTGCATATACACTTTATGGAGGATGTGTATCCGAAATCTATCTAGTAATTTATCATCCCATCTTTTATTGTCTAGTCCAACTCATAATTTTTATTAGTAATTTTATTTATAATCGAAGAAACTAGATAAGTTTTCTTACTTCATATCTTTCATTTTACCCTTGTTATTTTTTTAATAACAATATTTTTATTGAAATTGAAAGTTACATTTCACTGTTTTATTATGAAAAAACCAGACGGATAAAAAATTTAAAAATGTTTCTTGAAACATAAAAATCATTGTGTATCAGTTTTGTCACCATCGAAGTAGAAGTTTTGTATGAAATTAATCATTTAACATTTCTGATTATTAATGTTATTCATATTTTATAGCTTTTAAATTATTTTACAGTAGCATGTTACTTCACTGTAAGGATTTAGTAGCCTTGGTACTAGACTAACATTTCTTTAAAATTTTTAAGTTTACTAATAAAAGTTTAAATTTTAAGGACAAGACTTTAAAAAACTGTGCGCATGTGAGGAGTATCTGAAAACAAACTCGGTTTCTTAGTAGTTTACCATACGGATCAGTAACTTGAGAAAAACGTTCTACCCTAGCCTTGATAATATACAATTTTAACAGCTTTTCTAAAACACTACAAAATCATGACTGACAATAAAGAATTATTATATTTTTAAATAATAATAACTCGACTATTTAAAAGTTAATAATTTATCTTTGTTAAAAATTTAAAACATTAAAATTATAGTTGCCAATAAATTACATTCCGACTACCTTCACTACTTACCAGAAAAAAGCCAAAGCCTAATATTAATATACTAGAGCATTTTATACAAATTATAAAAGAAATCCCTTCTGTAAGTTATTAGTTATATCTATAGCATGTGCAAACAGGAAAAACAAAACTGAATTTGTTTTGAATAGTGTACAATCATGACTCTAAAATTATATTAAAACGAATAATCTGTAGAGCTTTATATTTCAATTTTATAGTATTCATACAGTAAGAAAGATACTAATACACATGTTGGTTACATAAACAGACAAATATTTCCTGAAAATTATGGTTATTTTACATAATCATTTTATCAGAAGTTATAAAGTACATCATTTTCATCATATAAAAAATTATACCCAATGAATAGACAGCACATTGTTTCATTCTACTTAATATTAATAACTAAAATTGTATCAATTATACTATGTGCTGTAATGTATTTCAAGTCTCTTTTCATATTATCGACTATAATTTTTTGTTAGTAAATGGCTAAATCGTGGATAATTCAAACAACAAACGCTTCACTTTCATTGTTTTGCATTTCATTGGAATTTAATTTTATCCCTTCATGTTAATTCTCATCCTACGTTAAAGCATCGATATGTATAATCGAAGTAGGTTTAGTAACTGAATCAAAAATTGTTGTAACTTTTCTCCGCGTAAAATTTTAAAATAAGTGGAACAACGTCATTATCATTCACATGTATTTTGTACATACTTGTAATGTAACATTGATTGCATTTTCACTTTTATTACTGAATTGACAGCTAAATTATATCGCACAAATTACTATCCAACTGTAATGATACAAAAAATTGTATCCAAATCTGCATTGAAACTTTTATAGCAAGTTTTTAACTATAAAGAAAGTTTTACGAAGCTCCACGAGAACATTGGAAAAGGACTCGAGCAACTATTGCTGCGACTTGTTGATCTAATATTTGACTCATAACAAGTGCTAGAAGACGAGATTCATGATGTAATAATAAAGTTCTATTGTCTGGATGTCTTGAAAGATTTAATAATGTACCGGCAGCTCGTCTAAGCATATCCAAACTTGTTCCCATTAATTCTGGGTTATCTCGAAGAGCTGCTATACCATGTTGATTTGCTACGGTTAAAGCACTATTTTCTGCTTGTTCAATAAAAGCCACTAGTAATGCTACACAAGGAGTTTGCAATGCTATAGTGCGAGCTATTCCACTATCTGCTGCAGAAAGAAAGTGAAGTAAATTTACGCCAAACTCTCTTAAAACTTGTTCTTCACTTCTACAAAGTAGCCGTGAAAGTACAGAACATAACTTCTGAATCCTGGAATATGGAGGTGTCGCTACCACTAGATCTACGTTACTTTCAGTCACACACAATTTACAGAGAGCTTCAAGAGCTAGTCTTTGTGGTGAGAGAGAAGAATTCAAGTTTACAGTTGGAAAAGGATCTTGACCATGAGCTGCAGGGCATACGGACCAATGCAGAAGCCCATCCAAGATGGGTCTAGATATTTCTTCTGGATATTGACTTAAATCCATGTATCCAGCTATATTGGCTGCCATGACTAAGATATTTTCACGTATATGGTATAAAAAGTCCCACCACCATTCATTTTCTCCTTGCAAACTGCTGCATGATTCAGCAAAATCTGCATCTTCTTCTCTATCGTAATTTCGAGTTCTTTGTGTACGTGTAGGATGTTCATGATGAAGTAAGAGAAGCTTTCCTAATAAACTTAAAAATGTTATATTCCGTGTGAATTCTAATTCATTACCAGGAATAAATGTTAAATTTCTTAAAATAGTTGAGAGACATACACAGCGCCGTGCTAAATTATCTTGCGTTTCGGTAATTAGGTGTAAGCTTGCTTCATCCCTAGAGTAACTTTCATCTTCGTAATCAGTAATTTTTTTTCGTTTAAGAGTTCCAGCAGGATCTCGAACTCTTAACTTTAATTGATCTTTGATTAACGTGGATGTTTCGTACGTTTCATGTTTGGATTGTTTATTTTTGCTTTCTAATTTTTCAATTTTTTCAAACTCATTACCAATCTGCGTGTTTTCGTCTTCTCCATATTCATAAACTTCTTCTATTTCTTCTTCTCTTTCTTCTTTTTCTACAACTTCTTCTTCTAAATCTTTTTTGAAAATAGAAGTAGTTTGCATATGGTTTTGATCATAAGTGTTTTTCCTAGATTTTAAAGCTTCTGAGTTCAATTGATCTGCGAAATCATTGGAGTGTTTTACACCACTTCCAAAGTCTTTTCTTAAATTATCATGTTTTTTTTCAAAGATTTCCCGCGTGAGGTCATTCATTTCAATGGGTTCTTTTTTAATTCTAGAAAGCACATCGCTAAGAGTTTTCAATTTTTTTCTTTTGTCTTGATAATATTGTTTGGTATCAGTTAAACTTTCCTTTTGCTTTGCAAGTGAAATTTCTATACGTTTTTCTTCTATACTATCATGAAATTTTTCAGATTGATGACTCTGAATGTTACCTTTAGAGTAATTGTAGTTTAAATCTTTTTGTAAAACTAAAAGTTGTTCGGTTCCAAAATGGCTTGTAAAAGGACCAGTGCTTATTTCAGATTCAAAACACGTAACAATATAATTTATGGCATCACAGTCGATGTGCCATGGTTCTACTTCAGTTTCTTTCTGTTGTTGATCCCAAGATCGACGATTATCTAGAACAAATATGTCATCATCTCTTGGTATATATTTAACTGATTTTCCTCGTCGAGATATGAACGTATAATTAGAAGAGGACAAAAGTTTTATTCGATCGTCAGGATCGATAGGAGTGATAATAGCTCCAAGATCAATATTAGAGTTTTTTATGCTAAGTTGACGATAAGAGCAATCTTCATTGACTAAAGAAGAATCAAACATGTCGGACAGAGAGCGTGAAAAATGTTCTAATAAAATATCCAGTAATCCAGGCAAATGAGCTAATCCAAAGTATTGTATAGAAGAATCATCGAATAATAATATGTTTAATATATCTAATGCCCAGCAACTTTCTGCCAATAATCCCGACCTGAGAGCCATCATGATTCTCCAAGCTTCTACAGGTGCAATGTCAGTACGAGCTAATTTTCTTCGTTTGTACGATAAAGGCGTTATCCCTTCAATACTATCAGGAGGAAACGTCATTTCTCTTTTTATGATAGATTGTTGATTCAGTGCCGAGCTGATTCCAAGTTGATTCTGAAATAATGATAAAAAAATTACAATAACATTAAAGCTGATTTATTTCAAGTATAATTTACAAAAAATACATTGTTATAATAATAATTGTAGTAGGTAGACTTGTAAAAGAAATAATTATTAAGGACTGATTTTTTGTAAAAAAATAAAGACTTAAAAAAGGTCGCACAGTAAGAAGATCAATGCCTTATCGTATTCTAGAAGGATTCATGAAACAATTCAAATTATCTTACTTTTGATAACCAACAGTTTAAAGATAAAATAATAAAATTTAAAATGAGTCGAACTAGCAGTGAAAAAGAATCACGTTTAAAATAATAAATACACGGAGATAATGCAAATTCTTTCAAAAAAAGATAAGGTGTGATTATTTAGTAGTTTTGTGTTCTATAAAATAATGATAAAAAACTCAGCTTTTTAAAGCATAAGTTCCTAGTGACACTAAAAACCAATTTTTACTAATGGTCTAAGGAGTATAGGTAAATCTTTTTAATAAACAATATTTGTGTGAATTTTAGGCTGTCTCAAGAGTGTGCCGTCTTACAGATCAGCAAAATCTCAAAAGAGAAAGTAGCGAGAAGAAAACTAGCACAGAACACATTGTATAAAACAAAAAAAAAAATTTTCATACTTTTTAACAGGGAACACGAAAGTTGCCGGGCACGTATTTATACATGTGTGTTTTTAGAAAGTGACTTATGCAAACTCCACGAGTTTCTAGAATATGTATCAATAACATAGTCGAATTATGCGGACGTCCGTAGGACCCCCCGCAGCCCCTTCACACCATTTTTCATACTACCCCACCACCTTTCCACACCATAATTCTTGTCCCCTGAGAACCTCTTCTATTAAGTATAAATCGCCCTTATTTACAATATATTTAATTATACTTGGTTTCAGTAAGAATGATTTTCATTTATTTTTCCGCACCACTAAGGAGTCAAATAGATAGAATTTATACATATTGATGAAATGTAGAATTTGTTTTTAATTATGTATTAATATGAGTAAATAATACATTAAAAACTGTAATATAATTATCGTCAAATTGTTTTAGTTCACTAATAAGTATAAAGTTCTTGGAACATTCAACTTTTTGTGAAATACTACTGTTTTTAAACAATGTAACATTCATTATTCCTTACATGTGCATGTATGAACTGATGCAACTAGATACACAAATTAAAACATAACATAATTATTAAATAACAATAACCGTGGAAGTATCGCCTAATTTAAATAGGTCAAGTGAATAACCTATTAAACTCAGCTATATCATAACCACAAAAAGACAGAAGTTCCTGTACCCAATTTGAAATAAGGATAGTATCTATGACAATATATATACTGTAATATGTATATGATCAATTTATACATTTCTTTAATACATTAATAATTTGTATGTATATTTATATGTATTATCTCCATTTAAAAAATCAGTCTGTATCTTACATATTTCTTTAACGAATACATGTTATAAGATAATTATTGTATTTTAATTTTCTAAATCANTATGTAGATAGAAAGATAAAAAGATTTCCAATTATTTTTTTTGTCTCAAAGTTTTAAGAAATGTTGGATGCACTAAATCAAAAATATAGTTTTACAACTGCAGTTTAAAATATTAATAATAATAAATTTACCAAATGTTTTGAAAACAGCTATAATAATTTTTTCATGACAGATTGTTTTCTTAAAAACAAACCTACATTACCGAAACTTTGACCCATTTGTTTATTGTCATAGCAAATGCCCCAACGATTGGAAATTGTTTACGATACAAAATAAAAGGTAATGTTGAGGTTCTTTCTGTGTCTAAAGCTATTCTTGGTATGAAGAGTCTATTTCCAATTTTTTTTCCAGTTATTATTTCTCCTTCTGAATAATACTATAATAACTTCATGATTCGTAAACGTGTGCCATTACATAGTCCATCTAAAATACTTCAATTTCTAAGTAACATCACAATTGTACCAATTTTTAGATTCAGTTTATGAGATCATAATCCTTCACAAATAATGTTCAACATTTCCACCGAAAGATTTAAATAAATATTATTGTCCGATTTATCAATTTCTTTATAAATTGCGTTATCTATACTACAGTAAGTTTCAATTTCTCCAGTTAATTTTTTAAGAATTATTATTTAAACAACAGGTGTAATTGTTATTTGATGTTAGTATAACACTATTCAACGAACAATTATAGATACTAAAAAATTTTTGAGAATATATATCATTTGATATCCAATTTTTAGGAATTTTAAAAGTTTTTATTTCCTCTTCCCCATTTTCCAACAATAACNCATAAAAATAAAGATTTAATAGTTTGTTTAATGATAATTTTTTTATTACCGTTTCTTATCATTGGGAAAATCTGATGAAAATCACCTCCTAAAATAATTAATTTATTTCCAAAACATTTTTCAGAATTACATAAATCTCTCAACTTTTTGTTAACTATATATAATGTTTCTTTTGGAATCATTAAAGCCTGATCCTAACTAGTGAAATCAACTTCTCCTAGTTTTTTTTTATCCGACTCGAATTGAAGGCACTTTCTATATTATTGAGATCTAAAGAAAGTCTAAAAGTTCTATGTTTTATAATTCCCTTTGGAAGCAAAATTAATCCAATACCAGTCCATGCCATTGACATAATTTTATTCTATTTTGAGAAATAAAAAAATTAATTAACATTTTATATAAGTAAGTTTTCCCAACCCTCCCAGACCATCTATAAGAAAAATATCGTTTTTTTTGTTGGTAAATAATATGAAATATTTTTTTCTGGTCATTATTTAAACTTTTATACATCAAGTTAAACATTTCTTTACTGAAAGGTATTCCTTCATCTATATTTTCTTTTTACTTTCCATTTTTTTGATGTAGGTAAATTAAAGCATCATCATGGTTCTTCTGATTCTAAAATTTGCTCAATATGGAAGAGAGCTTAATTATCTTTATCAGTAGGCAAATCCTCCCTAAAAAATTCTTTGTGTTTATTCCATATTTAATCACCCTGAACGTTTTTTAAAATTAAAAACCAAGCAAAAAATTGTCTCAATCGATATGGAAACATAACAGCAGTAGTTTCGTAAAAATGTTATCTATTTTTTATCACTGTCTATTAAACCCATTGCAATTGCAGTATCTTTAAAAATTTCATTTGTTGTTTCTTTATATGTTCTTATATCTTTAAGCATTGTTGAACTAGTTACTTTATTTCATACAAGTTTAAAAAAAATCTCTTAGGGTCTTTTTGAGATAAGATGTTTAATCTACCTATTGCAGTATTTTTATTGCATTTTTTATTCTTTGCTAAATTTTAAATTTATCATTGAAAATGTAGTATTCTGAAATGTTCACACTGAAATGTGTACATTATGGATTTTGCAAAGTCATCGTGTTTATTAAATTTGAAACAAGTTGTTAACTGTGTTTCGTAGTTTTCTTTAACAGTTTCATTATTATTTTCTTTAACTACAAGTTTTTGTTTGTTTTTAAGGTGAGCAGCTAAATTTACAACTGTACGACTTCTACCACTAATTGCAACTTTTTGCAATCTTCTAGATGCTTCCATTGGACCTACATATCTAGCACCAATGTAACTATTAATTTCATCAAGTATTTTTTTGTCTCGGTCCTTAAATTTTTGAATTTCGAAATACGCTGTCACTAACTTTGTGTATTTAGTCATAAGTTTATTTAATGCTTCAAATAGATACACGTTGATATAATATTTATATTTCATTAACAAAAATGTATTATAAGGTAGTACATTGAATTATCTACTAAAATTTCGTCTTTTCTCCAAAATTTATTATCATGTTGTCCGGAAGTTTTATTTTTTCTTTTATATTCAGGGTAACTATTCGTTTAAAACAAAGTTACGTTTGTAAAAGATTTTTGTAAAATTTTTAAAAATTTTTATCAATCATACAAGGGCTTTTTTCTGTATGAGGTGTATATAGCGTATGTTTAACCACTAATTTTGTAAGTTTTGTATGACCAGAAGAAATTTCAGCTAAAATAATTGCATCAGTTTGTCCAGGTGTAACAATTTTTTTCATCAGGATGCAAGGTTGTTAAAATGTGTGCATGAGAAACGATTTGGAATTTGATGGTATAAACGTATGCTAATATTTTACCAAGTTTATTGTTTTTAATGATGTTATCCAAAACTGACATTAATTTCTAGTGAAAAAGTCTAACAGTGACGTTTGGAATACCATTTGGTGTCGTATTTTTGGGAAATTTTAATAAAGTTAATTTAATTCTTTTCATTTGAGATCGCATGTTACTATTAGAAATGAATCTGGTCTACTACACTTTCTCATTGTAGACATTGCATTTTGATACTGTTTCTGCATATATCTTGAACTTGCAATGTATGTAGATAGAAAGATAAAAAGATTTCCAATTATTTTTTTTGTCTCAAAGTTTTAAGAAATGTTGGATGCACTATTAACGATTGCCTTAAAAAAACCTTGATAACGTTCAATTCTTAAATTTTTTTGATTATTTCTCAAATAATTTAAACTGTTATACTCAATCATGATGTGAAAATGAGTAAAAATTTACTGTGGCAACCATCCCCCATATAATAATGAATTAAAATGTATTGCGTTTAGTCAGTCTGTAGGAATAATGTTGTATCATGATTTTTTACTCTTATTTCAGTAGTTTTCAATATAACCAGTACTCTATTCTAAATCTCCTAAGGGAAAAAATAATGGAAACACCATAAGATCGATAAAATGAGTTTATTTAAAACTGTTTCTTTCGGATAATTATCGGGTAATTATTTTGGGTATACACAAAGATCGAAGCTCTCTGGAAGACTAGAGTTTAAAACTACAAAAACACCCCCTTCTACAGTCAATAGTTTATTGGCAATGCTTTTTCGCTATTGGATTTTCCTTTGTATTTTTTGTCAAAGTTTTGATATGTTTTTTAAGAATCTTACTACTGTTTATGGATTTCAACCTCAGATCAA